TATCATAAAAAGCCGACCAAGAGAAATACAATTTTTTAAGCGCTAATTTGCATTTTTGAAACATGAAAATAAAGTATCCGTTTTTATTTTCAACACATCTTGATGCGTTTCTATAAAAGAACCCACACATGGAGAAATAAAGACAGAAAGGGAGAGCAAATATGACTTGCAACAAGAAGCAAAAAGAATGAGCCAATTTTTTCACCGTTAAAAGCTGAATGTTTACTTATAAAAAGTGCTGTTGATGGAGCCCCTTACAAGTTAGAGCTGAATACTTTGGCACAGCATCTGGGAGAATCTCAGTGGATTCTCCCCTATATCGTTGAAAGAAGCGATGTATTTGGGACAAAACATATGCTTCTATGAAGAAAATTTGGTGGCCTTCCATAAGTGCACGCTCGGCATCTTCAGATATTAGCATGCTATATTTTGCACATATATTTTTCTTGGACACTGTAAATGAGCGTTAGCAACACCTTAATAGGAAAAGCGTCAATTTTTTCACCAATGTATAGTATACCAAAAAGACATAAGCTAAAAATAAAACGTTTATTTGAATATTTTATGTACAATTGATCTCCCATTATACTGTAAATGTACCATTAATACCTATGATCTTATCCCAGTTTACAAATTGATATTTATTTCACTTTATGCTTTAATACTAATTTAAGTCAATGTGTAAACATTTTATAGCATATAAGTATATTGTATTTACCTACTTTCATTATTACCATATCAGTTTTTAAAATTGGAATTAGTTCATAGACATTCAACATGTATTTGTTATTGCTTTTTATTGAGTTTCATACGAGAAATTTCTAATCGCAAATTCAAAATATTCACAATAAAAAATCTTTTCTGTAGTCTATCTAAATAATTCTTCCTGTAGATATGATTATGCCTCTTAATGATTTATCACATGGAGACGAAGAGATTAGATCATATACTGATGGTTTTCAGATTACAGAAAAATAGTTGAGCGTATAAATAATATTGCTGTAGTCCAGAAGTAATTACAAAAGCTAATAGTTTATTTTAATTAAAACGTGTTTTATCGCTTTAATCATTTCAGATTTTAGACAAAGCGAATTTTGTCAACATCATACTAATCGCTGTAAATTATTCAAAAAGTTTGCATGAAAAGTTTAATTCACCAAATAAAATCAATACGGTTTTCATTATTTCTAGAAAAAAACAAACATGTTAATAACATAAAGCGAGTTTAGTTCAGAGGAAATATTTTGAACCGAATTTGAATAAACTTTAAATATACTTTGTCAAAAAATATAATTTTTTGCTGTATATTGGAAATTAAATATGCGTCTACAAATACTCTGTAGTATTCTGTAGAATAGTTACAATGTCGCATAATGCACGTAATTACTGACTTTCAAAACATATTTTTCTGCAATATATTGCAATGCCATTTGTGTCAAGGATATGATATTTTCTGTAAATTCTTACTGAAAGTTACTTCTGTTTATTTTTTCAAAGCTAAACATAGTTAGATTAATGTCGAGAGTGTATTAAAATTAAAATAGGTAAATACTTGGACATAGGAACATTTCAATACAATGCAAAAGAAGTAAAACGAATGATTTTGAAAAATCGTTTTGTGAAATTCATTTAAAAAAATTAATAACTTTTGATCCTTTCTTTCACTTCACTTTTTTCAACTTTCACTCCTAAAAGAAGTGGAAATAAAATACATAAAATATCGTTTGAGTCCAAAAAATCGTGTCGTGTGCCAACTCTACAAAGTGAGTTATTTTTTGAAAAACTTTCGAAAAAAAAGTTGTAATGGTTTTCTAGCAACTCATTTTCACGAATTTGCAACATATTAAACAAGTTTTAAAATCACAGACAAATCAGTTTTGATATATTTTAACATGCGCTTGAATATCGTAAAAACAATTTTTGGTTTTAAAGCTTTATTTTTGAAAATGAAGGCAAATATTTCAAAAACGAGCTGTTATTCCTAAACTGTAAAAACAGTAAAATATTTGTTTAAAACGCTTGTCTCGAAAATGGATCATTGGAAAATTCCAAGAAACTATAAATATAAAAATTGCAACATTTTATTTTTCGCAAAAGGTGACTTCAGCTCTCGAGCAGTAAGTAGTGAATATGAAGTGTTCATCATTAATTACGAGAATTATTAAAGCTCTATCTTTACATAGAACCAATTAACATTGGTTTATTAGTTTGAGCCAGGAATTTCTCCCATAGATTGACAGTTAAAATTTTATTTTAATTATTAATGTATTACCTCTTATATAAAAATATCCTATAATCGTTTCAAGTACCATGCAATATTAACTTTGGCAATTGGCATCCCCATTTTGTATAAACTGGAAAATTTGAATCGAATTTTAAGTAAAGGACATTTAACATCATTTCTTGAGCTTCAGGTAGTCAGTTTTTATATATTTCTGTCGTGTATATTTCAAGAATCAGCTAGAATTTCCTTACACATTAAAATGGAAAACCTCCACTATATAATGGCTGCATTTTTTATTAAAAATAAAAACTTCAGGTAACTATTGTTAGATGCTAACGGATATTATTCTAATTACAGTCTGCTACTCTCAGTTCCAGTACGCTTGGTATTCTTTACCATAGAAGTTATCGTTGGCAGGGTGACTTCATCATGTGAATACATAACGTTGTCAACTCCATTCAGTTCTTTTGAAGTAGGAGGTGGAGCTTGGACACCTCCAGGCATCAGAAATACAGTGAAAAAGAACATCAAAGAACCTAAAATAAGTAATACTTATATTGAGCATATATATATACCAAAAATTTATTGGAAAATCTATGGAAATTCATTACTGTACGTGTTTCTCACCTAAGTTATCCACATTCTATCAGAAACATTAGTAACAGAAGTTAATGCAAATGTATAAGTTATCTCCACTTTATTCATTAACGTCATGTTTAATAACAAATAGAGTTTGATGAGAAAGCATTAGATTCATTTAAATCTATCAGAATGATCCCATATACATATATACAGGGTGGTTCAGTTTAAATCGTCAAGAATTAAAAACAATCAAGAAAATCCGAATATTTTATATAAACTGTGCTTAAAAATGTTTCGCAATTTTTATTAATTTTTGCTGAATTGGAAATACTCAACCCTTGCAGATAAGGAGTAAAATTATTAGAGTAACGGATCGTTAATCATAACTATATTTTTATTGTGGATTTTTATTTTAATCAGTTACGTCCCTATGATCAAGTACAAGAACAAAGTTCACAACACATATATATGCATCTTACAAATAAAAACAGTGTTTTCAGTTTTTTGCTTTTAAAACTTGATCGTTTTCCATAGTTAATTACCATCTTATATTATTATATACTTACTTATTAAATAAAAAGCAACATAAAATATGTACAAGCTTTCTCTGTATCCAATTGCTTTGGAAACTGGTTCAACGGCGATTGGAAGATTTCCTCCAATATTGTTCATAACAAACAAAAAGACGCCTACAGTTGTAGAACGTACGTGTAGAGGCACTATTTCCACTAGTATAGCAAACAGGATTCCAAACCACATTTCAGCTAAAATGAAGGTTTTATCAGAATTACAGTTGGCACGTGAATTTGTTCCTGTAAACGAACAAATCTTCTAAACTAGCTCCTTCAAAGTTCTTCCCATCCAGAAAATGTGCATACGGAGTTTTATCAGTTTGATACCCAATTTACCAGTCAAACTTGTTTCAATTAAATTCAAAACAATTTGATTTACCGAATCTACTAACTGGATTTACCGAATCTACTTTTCAATGCGCAAAAATCTTTATAATTGAAAATTTGTGTTTGAAATATTTAATTGCAGATTTTTTTAAACAGCAATAATAAAATTGATTTACTAAATTTAACAAATTTAATAAACCTAAAGCAACTACTAACTCAAACTATGCTTCAAACTAGGCGCCGTCGAAGTTACAATTTTGATTTCTTTAGAGCAAATACCACTCAAAAAGTTGATATATAAAACAAAATAAAAGGGCTGCAAATTGGTCTTATCCTTGGTACAAGCTGAGCATCGAAGAAAATGCATCAATTCTGGTTGAATTTCTATGATGGTGTGTACCATGTTTCATTAATTTCCCGTTATGGACAACTTAGTATAAATTTGGCAATCACTGAAGATAACAAATTACATGTAGTTTTCTGTAACAGTCAGGTTCATTTTTGCCAAACCACTAGTATTGTAAAATTCTTGCTGTATAAAGTATATTATATGATTGATCAAAAAGGGAAGATATATAAGGAAGATCGGGTATAACTTTAGCATTTTTACATGTTATTTTTTTATATTTCCGTATAGCTTAGGTGTTTCATTGCAACCTTACTATGTGCTATATTAGGATTTTTATAATTTAATATAAAGGAAAAGATACATGCAGTTTATTTAGTTATTGTTTCAAATTGACCCATTCATGGGACAGTTGTAACACCTAAGCAAACCATGATATTTTCGATTAAAAATGTGCCTACATATAGGTATTGAGTGATATTTTGAATTTTTATAGCGTTGCAAGAAACCTGTTCATTTTGAAAGTGTAATAAGTATGTATGAAAGTCACTACTTAAGTCTTAGTTAAAAGTCTTTCATTTCCCCCAGCGCAATTCAAACAGAAAAAGTGTAAGAAGTAGTTCATGAATCTACTTCTTACATCGGCTGAGGCTTTTGCAGTACATTTGAAGACAATAGGGACAGAGTCGATCTTCAGTTTCATCATCTGAACTATTCAAATGTTATTTCTGTAATAGCAATAGCAATATAAATACTTGCAACAACAATACTTGCTCCTTTTTTTTTGAAGAAGATCGATGTATGTAATGTAGTGTCCCTTGAAAAAAATTGTTTAATATTTTTTAAAGGATTTTAATTCATTACAACACTTGGAGCTCTTTTCGGGAGCTTATCCCATGGACTTCTTTCTTTATAATTCTCGTTTTGAGTGGTCTAAGTTTGATGTGAGTCTAGAACATGGTGAAAATTTCCAGTTGGTACTAGAACTCACTAATCAAGTTAGCCCTAATTAATTCAACTTAGCTCTAAAGAAGACTTGTGCGTGGAACCAATTGAAGAATTATTGTAGATTTGT